TTTTGTCTACTTGTACGGTTTTTCTTTCCTTTTTTTTTTTTGTCTTTTTTGTCGTTTGTTGTTTTTTTATGGTTCTGCATCCCCTGGCGCCCTTTTGCCCTCGCAGCCCCTTCCCTCGCGGCGTGCCACTGCCATCGTGCGCATGTATTCAGGCGTGGCCACGCATCCGTCTCGCGCCGTTGCGTGTGCTTATGCATCATGTATAATACCAATTGATGTTTATTCGTACTTGTGCCGAGATGCCTTTTTTTTTTGGTTGCGTGTGTGCGTGTGTGTGTGTGTGTGTGTGTTTCTGCGGCGGCGCAGCCATTTCTTTTTTGTTTGTTTGCTTCTTCGCCGCTGCGTCAATCCAACACACCACACCGAGGCACACGCGATGCTCTCTCTCGCCCTCCCTCGGTTGTGCGCCGGACGGATCCGCGTGAAGGCGTCATCCCTGCCCACGCTCCCTCTTTTTTTTTTTTTGTTCTTTGTCCCTCACGCGTCTCTCTGCTTCTCGCGGAGCAAACAAGGAAGAAGTGTATATATATATATATTCTCGTGCTCTCTCTCTCTCTCACACACGGAGTGGGTAGGCCTCGTGTGTGTGGGGGGTGTTAGATGACTCACGGCGACACCAGCGTCTTTGCGCGGGCGACGCGGCAGACGGAGGACCCGTTTCTGCGCGGCGGCACCGCCAGCCAGCGGTTCCTGCATCGGTACCGCAAGTACCCGTTTCCCGTGCGAATGACGGGGCTTTTCCTGGTCGGCTTTGTGCTCGGCGGCGTTATTGAGACCTTCGCGTGCAAGACGCACATGTACGAGAGTGTTATGGCGAAGAAAGACATGCGTCGGCACGACTTTGACGAGTTTGTCGACGACTTCCGGGAAAATGTGGAGCGTTGGCAGCGGCAGGATATGCTGCAGCGACGGGGATAGGCAACACGGGTGAACTTTTCCCTCCTTCTGCCTTTGCCCTCCCTGCTTTTCTGCGCCCGCTCCTTCTTGCCCTGCGGCGGCGCGCGGAGACGTCCTGCAGCTCTCCCTCTCTCCCTCTCTCTGTGCGCATGTGCTGCCTTGACGCCTTTTTTTTTTTGTTCCTCCTGCCTCTTAATCGCCTCTGCCGCGCGGCGGCGGTAGTCACGCGAGCAGCCGCTGACAGTTCACAGCAGTGCGGGGCGGTTCAGAAGAAGAAGACCACAACAAAAAAGAAAAAAAAAAGGGGGCGATAAAAACCCTGTGCCTCTGTGTGGTGACGCTGGGCACGCAAATAGAGCGACAGAAGCGCACGGCTAGCGTCCGGCAAGTAGCTAGGGAGTACTTTTTTGTCCCCCACTTTTTTTTTCTTGCTTTTTTGCTTGTTTGCTTTGTTTTTATTGCTACCGGCGGGTGCTGATACCCAACAGGGGGGGCGAGAGGGAGAGCGATGAGCCGGACGTCCCCGTCAACGGGGCGGCAGGGCGGGGGCGGTGCGGGCGGCGCCCCGGCAAACAGCGCGGCGGTGGTGAAGCACAAGATTGTCCTCCTGGGCGACCAGTCCGTGGGGAAGACGAGCCTCGTGACGCGGTTCATGTACGACACCTTCGACCAGCAGTACCAGGCGACGATCGGCATTGACTTCTTCTCCAAGTCGATCCCCGTCGAGAACCACACGGTGCGCCTGCACGTGTGGGACACGGCGGGGCAGGAGCGGTTCCGCTCGCTCATTCCTAGCTACATCCGCAACAGCTCCGGCACCCTCGTCGTGTACGACGTCACCTCCCGCGCCTCGTTCCTCAGCACCTTCAAGTGGGTCGACGAGGTGCGGGCGGAGCGGGGGGAGGAGGTTGTCATCTTCCTCGTCGGCAACAAGACGGACGCCGCGGACAGGCGGGTGGTGAGCACGGAGGAGGCGCAGCGGAAGGCGGCGGAGTACAATCTCGGCTTTATGGAGGTCAGCGCCAAGCAGGGGACCAACGTCAAGGCGCTGTTTAGAAAAATGGCGGAGGCCCTCCCGCTCTCGGACGACAACGAGAATCGTGGCAGCAACGGGGCCGGCGGCGGCGGCGGCCAGCCGGTGGTGCTGGGGAAGCAGCGGGACCCGTTCCTCCTCACCCCCTCTCGGATGCGGGAGGGAAGCCGGAACGGCGCCCACAACGGCAACGGCGGCGCGGAGAATCGGCAGGGCGGCGGCTGCTGTTGAATTGGTGGGAGAGGCTGGGAAGCGGGAAGAAATATAAACGAAAAACAAAAGGAGTGCGCTTCGATGGCGGCCGCGGCGCCTGCTTGCCCCTGCACCTTTTCTTTTTTACTATACATTTATATATATATATATATTAGTTTTCCTTCTCTCTTTTTCTTTGTGGGCGTCTGTGTGGACGCAGCGTAGTCCAGACGTAGCAGAGCAACGAATTGTGTAGCCTCCGGCGTCTCGCGCTCGCGCAGGAGCAGAAGCGTCCACTCACATCTGCGCCTCCCCGATGAGTGAGCAGCTGGAGATCCCCGGGGAGTCGCGGAGGTGGGTGCTGCGGCGACACCGCATCCTTGGCAAGGGGAGCTTTGGCTGCGCAACGCTCTACGAGGAGGTGGATGCGCCGGGCAGCTTTGTCGTCGTGAAGGACATAAACTTGCAGACAATGAAGAAGGAGGACGAGATGAAGGCGCTGGAGATGGAGGTGGAAATTCTCCGCCGCTCGCGTGGGCACCCAAACATTGTCCACTTCCTCGACTACTACCACGACGGGGCGTTTATGGTTTACATTGTCATGGAGTACTGCGCGGCGGGTGACCTGGCGCAGCTCGAGGAGCAAATGCAGTACCGCATGTCCCACCAACCCGAAAGCTTCGTCGCCTCCGTTCTCATTCAGATGCTCGCTGGTCTCTACTACCTGCACATGGATCAGCACACGCTGCACCGCGACATCAAGCCGCACAATGTGTTCCTCTGCAGCGACGGCGCCCTCCGCATCGGCGACTTTGGTGTCTCGACTGTGCTTGACCAGTACGGCGCGCAGGCGAAGGCCGTCTGCGGCTCCCCGTTTTACATGGCGCCGGAGCTCTGCGAGGAAAAGGCGTACGACAGCAAGGCAGACCTCTGGAGCCTTGGGGTGATGATGTATGAGTTGATGGTGCTGGAGCGGCCGTTCAACGCGGCGTCGGTCCCCGCCCTGATGCGGCAAATCACGCGCGGCGTCTTCAACCCAGTCCCGCGCGAGCTCCCCTACTCCGCCGCACTGGTGGAGCTGGTGGAGTCGTTTCTGCAAACCACCCCAACAGCCCGGCCTACGCTTCGACGCGCGCTACGGAGCCCCTACGTGCGGAGCCATCTTGACTGCCTCCCGCGCAGCTGCCTCGCCTCGCCGCACTACGCGCGGCTCTTCGGGGAGGAGCTTCTGCAGGAACTTATTCAGAGCCACGCGGCGACCGCCGACGCCACAGGCGGCGTGAGCGCGGCTAGCGGCTGCAGCGACGCCCACGCGGCCGGGCCCCGCGCAAGCGGGCATACGAATGAGTTAGAGCTCTGGCTGCAGACGAACGGGCGCGTCACCGACGCCCTCGCGGACGCAAAGCCGCCGCAACAGCACGCCGACGAACGGCAACCACAGAATCCGTCGTCGCCCAGAGAAACTGCGATGGAAGTGCGCCATGGGGCCCCGGTCAGCGCGAAATGCAACCCAGCCACGCGGCCTCAAGAGCAACCTGCGGAAGATGATGCGAGGGAGGACCTCTACGAAGACGACTTTGAGAGCGAGAGCGATGAATGAAGCCTTGAGTGCGGGTTGACTGGGGAACATAGAGACCGGCGTCAAAGGAAGACGATCTTGACTGTCTGTGTGTGTCTGTGTGTCTGTTGGGCCTGGCGTCGTGCCCGTCCCCCGTCATTTTGGTGACTGAGGAGCAATGTGCCTCTTCCCTGCCGTCTCGCACATCGAAGCGGCTATCATGGACGTCTCAGCTTAAAAAATGTCGCAACTCCAGGTTGGGCGTGGAGTTGTACACGCAACTCCGCCAAACCACCGACGCCGCTGCTATTAGTCCCACGCTGCTCTCTTCCCACCTCTCTTCCTCTCCATGTGAAATGTGTCGTGGCAATGTCCGTGCTGCGTGGTGTGCGGAAGATTGACACGGTCGGTGGCGGTTGCAATGAGGTGGAGGGAGGCGCACCCGGAGTTTGGAAAGGCTTTTTGCAGGGCTTTTTTTTGGCGCTCGGCACTGCGGGGCCGCCGATGTTGATGTGTTGACAATAACTATGAGTGCAGAAAGTTATCATCTATGTTCTTCTTTCTTTTCCCGTCCTTGCACTGTTTGCTTAACTTTTCCCACATCACTTCCTCTAACATATGCACACAAACGCAGAAGAAGAAGGAACAAACGCCACTCGCCGCCACTGTGCGCTTTGAGGGCTCTGCAGTTATCAGCACACACACACACACACACACTCAACCGTCGCCGCCTGAGCGGATCCACCACAAAGAGGGAAGAGAGAGAGAGAGAGAGAGAGAGGCCCCCGCCCCCAACATGCCCCGGCACCTGTTTTCTCCTGCGGTGCTGCTGCTCGTGTTGATGTGCTGCGGCAGCAGTGGCGCAGCAGCCGCTAATCAAGAGGTTGTCATCAACCCGTTTGAGGGGACGGCGGAGGTTCCCGGTGC